TATATTAGAGGACCCTGGAGGGAAGTGTATGGAAGTAGAGGAGCACGGAGTGGGCAAGGGCTTCATCTCCCACAACAGGATGTCTGCAGGGGAAGTCAAGTTTGAAAGTCAGGAAATTGCATTTTCAGCATGTTAGACAAATGGAGGTAAACCAGATGAACAGCTGGAGGAGTTCAAGTATGTAGTTGCTTCCAGGTAGTGGAAATCGACAAGGGTTGAGGGGGAATTAGAAGAAGACAGAAATGTCTCATAGTAAATCTTGTGGTTCCATTTAATTTCTTAAATCTATGAAATACATGTTAAATACTAACAAGAAATCCTTTACAATCTGTCATTTAACCCATTTTAGAAAACAAATACAGCAAAAGGCTTGCCTAAGATCACACAGCCTAGGAATCTCTGCTTCTCAAACTACACCAGGCTCATGCGTGTATTTGGGTGTGTATTCCATCATCTAGGAACTGGCCCATCTGGACATGGGACATATTTCCTGTCCCAACTGGGATTCTTGGCTCTGGCTCCCAGTAAACATGTTAAATATACTCCAGCCCAAATGGTACATACCGATTTCTCACTTTGCCTTTCCAACCCATCAAAGTCAAACTCTCAAAGCTTGACCACTCACAAACAACTAATGAATTTCACTGTCTTTTGTTTGACATACATACAATAAGCACAGGTAACTTCAGGTTTGCATCCTTGAACAATTGTTTCCTGTTCTCTTTTCCAGTGGGTTCTGAGTGACCAATCATATGACTGCACATGTGATATTCATTGACCCCTGACTCCTGGAAGGCTACCATTTCTAGAATTGCAGGGGCTTCTATACATGGAATATAACATAAGCTTTAGAGACCCCTTTTCCTATAATTCTGTCATTTGGAACCATGCAATGAAATTCACCCCACACAGTGGGAAACTCATAAAAAGTCCCTTTTGGCATTTGACTTGCTGTAAGTACTTTTGAAAGAGGCCCAAAACTAACCAACTCACACAGAATTGTGTTGTCTTACAGCAGGATGCATGTGTCTGTGCTTGTGTTAAAAATATACTGCTTCAATTGCAACCATGATGGAACAGGTGAGATCACTCCAATCTACTTTCCAAACATCTGTTAGCCTCAGCAGGTTGAAGAGGTGATTTTAATTGACAGATAGGTTAAAATGCTTGCTCCCCAGCTCTGAGATCCGAGCAGAGGCTTAGAAGTGTTTTCTCAGCTTTTGCCTACTAGTAGTTTAATCTCCATCCACACTTACACTGGCCATGAAGGGTGATTCAGAGAATTTAAATTATCTTATCGCTTCTATAAACTCTGCTCCTTAAAATGTTGCTAGTGATTTGTGCATCTCCAAGGATCTACTTTTCAACCGTTGCTTCAATACACTGTATCAGACCACAATTTGATGCTATTTAAATCTTTAGGAAGGTAGAAACAGGAGAAGGAAAACATTCCTCCTCCCTTCTTTCTATCTGATGCTATCAGATTACACTGATTAAATTCGTGGTTGACATCAGCGCTTACCTTTGTTTCTACTTCACCAATACAAGTTGCAAAGTGAAGCTTTTAAAACCAAAACACTGTATAGTATTTTCCAAAGGTGAATCCCAGGAAGGCCAGGACCCTGCTAGCAGCCTAAGGAATAAACCAATCCAAAAGGCAAGGAGGAGAAGGGCGTGGAATTTCTCAGCCAGAATTTCACACAGCTTCAGCAGCTCCTTGAGAGTTGTGAATTTACTGAACATACAAATAATTATAAGGAAAAAACTATTTTATCCTGACTGTTTATTTAGAGACACTGCCCTTTTATATTCTAAATTCATTACCTTGCCCTTTCATGTCCCAAATTCCTTATAAGCATTAGTACGGATGGGGCAACATGAGAGTCCACTCCTAGAATTTGGAGTAAGACTATTCGTTGTCCTCCCTGCTTTCATAAAACTCTTACAGATTTGCTCAAATTTTTCAAGCTGCAATAGGCCAAGACTTCTCCTACTTCAGTGGTTCTCAACTTTATTTGCATGTTAGAATCACCTGGGGCACTTTTAAAATGCATGGTAGCCAGGCTGTACCGCACAGCAATTAAATCAGGGTCTATAGGGTGGGACCCAGGCGTGAGCATTTTTTAAAGATCCTCAGGTCATTCCAGTGTGCAGCCAAGACTGCAAATCACTGTTCAGTTATTTCTCTACTGTAGGAAAGCACTGGGTCCTGGAACCAGCTTCCCAGAGCAGCTAGCTATCCTTTCTCCTTTCCTCCAGAAGGAAAGGCCCACGACACCTACTTTTATCTACTATTCCTTAATCCCCAACTATGAAACTCCCACTCCCTCCCCATTCTCCAAGGCAGGAAAGTTATATCAAAAAGTTAAAACTCATTTGTACTGCTGTAGATGGCAGGCTCTACCATCCACAGTGACTGCCTCAGAATCCCAACAGGTGTTAAAATCATCCTAATGATTTCCTTCAGACATTTCTGTTAGCAGTATAACACAGTGCCCAGAGATTTCTCCATTAAGACTCCAATAAAGAGAGTTCTAGAATGCAGCTCTTCGTAAGGCATAAACAGAAACATGATTTGAGAAGGCTTAGAGGAAGTTGACTTCTCAGCCAGGGCACTGATTATCTAGATTTCTCAAGGTGCTTTCAGTACAATGGTATTTTTTAAAAATCAAATTCTGCAGACACAACAGAAGGATGAACTTGTATAGGTTCCAGGCATGGGGATACTCCTGACTGTGGACCCCTGAGGCAAATACATTTCTCACAGCAGGAAAGGCCATATGGTACAATGGGGAAATCGCAAGTAAAGCAACCCCAGGTCTCCTGGGAAACCCACAACAGGCATATTTGTCCACACAGTCGCAAAACCAGGCCAGCTCTTCAGGTAACCTTACAAATTTATTAGAGATGGACCTATTTGATGGGAATGGTATGAACATTTTAATGTAATACAAGCAACAACAACAAAAAAATGAAAGAGTCCACCTGGGTTTAAACAACCAAAACAACCTGGGTTTCTTCTTTCCAACTGTGTGAACTCAGTTTTGCCTTAAATTATCGATGATGATAACTGTCTAGCAGCTCTCCCAGGGCTTGTGGCTAGTGCCACATATAAACTAGGAGTTCAGTGGCTTTTACTGCTATCCCAAGAGCTGTCTCTGCTTTTTCTCCCTCCATCTCATCTCCTGAACACTGTAGACAGCAGTGAATTGTGTTTAGAGTTCTTCACTAAAGATAACTGAAGAACTAAGCAGCTCTCCTTGCTTAGAACCCAAACTCCCTAAGGATCCCTTTTATTTTCTCCCAGCCTCTTCAAAATCAGAACCTCTTGAGGACAGGTGCTGAGTATGGGGATCACTTTTTCAACTTTGCAAATAGACACTTATCTTGGGTGAATAACACTGTGTTACATTTGCTAAGTTATAAACATCAGATTCGCTTTAGGATGTGACTTGCCCTACAATCTTTGTACTTATTGACAAGACCATATTGTAAGACAGCAATCTTCACCTCTGTTAAGTGTTACTTTAGAAACTGGAAAACTTATATGTTTTGGTTGGAGTTCACCACTAGAATTTGAGATCCAAATGTCAAAATAAGCCCTACAATGGGCCTGTACTTCTGCTGGGACAGCAGTGTTATTTGGGATTCAACAAATTCAGCTTATTCATTAGTTTTGAAATAGAAGTGTCAGCAGGACCTATCTTGAAGAAATATATTAGAACAGTCAAAAAATAGTCACAAACTCCAGAAACTGTGTGTCCATTAGTTTAGAATGTCACATTCCTTAAGTCACACTCCTTAGTCAGAGTTTCCAAAAGTCACATTCCTTAAACTCTGCAAAAAAAAAAAAAAAACCCCTCAGAAGTTACGCTGTGCTATTGAATGCTCTACATGAACCAAAATGTGTTTAAAGAGGTTTCCATGATTAGCTGTTTCTTGCTTATTTAATTGATCCAACAAATGTGGATCACATTGGCAGGGTCAAAGTCTTGTGTCTGCCTGGGGCAGAATGTCAAGTAAAAACAGATGTTTATTAAATGATTTTGACTGAGTTGAAGGGGGTTCTTTTGCAAAATCAAAACACATTTGCCTTACTATGACTGCAGTTCCTCTTAAGCTAAATTTACCTTCAGGACTTCTCACTTTTACTCCCACTATTGTTTTTACCAGTGTAGAAATACTTTAGATTTTGTTTTCTTTCCAGGCTTTCAAAGTGCTTTCACGGTTCATTTTATTTGCCATAGACTTACTAAACAGGCAGGAAAGTTTGCTCCTGGAAACAATGTCCCTTTGCCCTCAAACCCATTTCATTCTGGGGTAGCCCAAATGGTAAAGAAGAACCAGTAAAGAACCAAGATTTCATTTTTTACACAGTGTGACAATGTCATAAGGGCACATCCTCCTTCTGGAACTGATTCCTTCTGTCACACCTGCGTGTGTGTGTGGTGGGGGGTGCTCATGACACTGCGGCACTGCCTTCTCACAGGCGCCTGGAAGACGTTCCAGCTCCCGCCTTGGGCTTGTACCCCTGCTGCGTTACAAATGGTCCCTCCTGTGCATTACCTACGTTCTCCTTCAACTTGGCGATGACTACCCACCCCACTCCACCCCCATCCGCATCGTCCTCAAGGGTGCCAGAGCTCTGGTGGTGGGTCTGCCGTTCGGAAGTCCCACTAGTGTCGCGTCATTATTATGACCAATACTGGGACGCGCTGGCGGGGGACGGGGGTGGGGCACAGAAACCATCACGTCTGAAAGCAGGGGATCACCGAACCCTCCTCCTTTAAGGACATAGCCCCTCAACCAGGGCCCACCAAACAGCCCCTGACGACACTTGCGAAGGGCGCATCAACAATCACAAAGCCAATGTCATCAGATGCACCTCTTCAGTCCCCCAAAGCCCACTCTGGCGGTCCTCGCTCTTCTGCCAGCCCTCGGGCTCCGCAATCCCTGTATCGCAGCCCCGCGGCCACACCACCGCGGCGCCCTGCACGTACCCACGTCGCCCAGGAAGCAGGCGTCAGCGATCGGGGGCTCCATGCCGCTGGCTTCCAGGCGCCCCCAGCTGCGTATCCCCACGACTCTCGATGCTGGGGACTAGGGCCTCTGGCCGAGAGGGCCGCGAGCGCCGGGATTTGTAGTTCCCCGGTGGTGGTGGCGGCGCGCCTCGCGGGACTCGGGGCCAGCGCCGCGTCGTGGTCATCTGCGTCCAACTCCGAGTCGCTGCCGCCACGATCTGCTGGGCAAAACCGTCCGAGTGCAAAATGTGTCCAGGTGCAAAACGTGCCGGTGTATCCATTTGCAGAGCGTGTCCATGTGTCCAAGTGCAAAATATGTGCCGTGTGCAAAATATGTGTGCACGTGTCCATGTGCAAAACGTGTCCAGCTGCTAAAACTTGCTACCATCCTTTGTACTGATCGCACTCAGCAAAACTCCAGAGTTTCTCCATGTTTTAATTTTAATAATGAACTTCCTACTGGCTCTGACATATTGTTTCTTTCATTTTTTGAGAGGAAGACCTAAATTCCAAATCGTTCACATGCATTAAAAATATACACACATACACACACGCCTTTCCAAGTCTCATGACAGAAATGAATAACCTGTTTCCGAATGACTCCAAGTTGACAGTTGGGTAAGGCTGCTTTTTTTTTTCTTTGTTCTTTTTTAATCCACCCTGACCTGACCTAAGCCTAAATGTGTAAGTTAGTTTGGACTGGAAAGTAAAAATATCAGGAATTGTCCTGCCTGGAAACAGCATAAGGACAAGCAGAGAGTAGAACGTTTGACGCGTCACGCGGGCAGAGGCTTCCCCACAGCGCCTGAATGTCCGTCCAGTCCAGAAAAACAGGCACTGTTTTTAACAGGGGTTTGAGCTCTGTCAGAATCCATAGCTGCTGGGAACTGAGAACCCCAGGCCTAGGAATGACATATCATGCCTATCAGCAGTGGGTTTTTGCACCGTTTTTGCCACTTGTCTACCAAAATTAGGCTCTTGAATTTTCTTTGCAAGTTTCTTTACTAAATGTGGTACATTTTTTTATTTAATACATTTGGGATGTTATGTTTTCCACATGACAATACCATGTGCTGGTACATTTGTATTTTCTTCAATATTTCTTTCCTGACAAAGCATCTAGATCTGAGTATAGATCATGTGTTTATATATATACATATGTATATACACACATATATCAGCTCTGACCAGTGTGGCATGGTTTGTTGGGTGTTGTCCTGCCTGTTTGATTCCTGGTGGGGACACATGCCTGGGTTGTGGGTTCAGTCCCCAGCCAGGATGAGGCACACATCAATACTTCTCTCCTGCATCGATGTTTCTCTCCCTCTCTTTATCCCTCGCTTCTCCTCTCTCTAAAATAAATAAATAAAATCCTTTAAATTTTTTATTAAAAAATACATATTTATTTATATTTTCATACTTAAAGCTATATATGTATGCATGCAAGTATTTGCTAAAATATTACAGAGCAAATATTTCTTATTAGTTTATTATGTTGTAATTTTCCTTCATTCTGTTGCTCAGTTCGATAGTTAATTGCAGATAAGCTTGTTAAAGTTTTTATGTATTCAGAAATATATTATCAAAGTGTTTCCCCTTTGTGTAGTATTCAGAGTGTATTTCCCCACCAAGAGTCAGAATATGTATATTACTCTGTTTTGTTGTTATTAAGTCTTTTATCCATCTGAAATTTGTTGCAATGTATAGTATCTAAATTAATTTTTTATCTAAACTAGTAGTTTGTCTAATTTTCTGTTAAGCTCCTTTTATTGCATATTAGTTTCTTTTTTTTTTTGTTAAGATATAATTGACCTATAACATATTAGTTTCAGGTATACAACATAGTGACTCCATATTTGTATATATTTTAAAATGGTCACCACTATAAATCCAATTAACATTCGTCACCCACACATCATTACAAATTTTTTTCTTATGATGAGAACTTTTTAGATCTACTTTCTTAGCAACTGTCAGTATTTAATACAGTACTATTACTCATTGTACTGTACATTACATCCCCATGACCTATTTTGTAACTGGAAGTTTCTACCTTTTGGCCACCTTCATCCACTTTGCACCTCCCACCACTGACTGTCATCAATTGGTTCTCTGAATCTATTAGTTCATTTTTTCATTTTGTCTTGTTTTGTTTTGGATTCCACATATAAGTGAGACCATATGGTATTTGTCCTTATCTGCTTATTTCACTTAGTATATAATGTCCTCAAGATCTCTCCAAGTTGTCACAATTATAAGATTTTCTTCTTTTTATGTATGAATAATATTCCAGTGTAGAGTGTGTGTGTGCATGTGTGTATCACATTTTGTTTATCCATCCATTGATGGACACATAGGTTGCTTCCATGCCTTGACTGTTAATAATAATGCTGCATTATCTCCAGATGAACATGGAGATGCATATATCTCAACAAGTTTAAGTGTTTTCATTTACTTTGGATAAATACCAAGAAATGGAATTGCTGGGTCATATGGTAGTTTAATTTTAAGCTTTTTGAGAAACATTCACACTGTTTTTCATAGTGGCTGCACCAATTTACATTCTCACCAACAGTGTACAAGGGTTCCTTTCTCTTCAATGTCTTACTGTTGTTTTGCAGTAAGTTTTTAAATTTAGAAGTGTGAGTTCCCCTACTTTACAGTTCTTTTTCAGAACTGTTTTTTTGGATATTCTGGGTCCCTTGTAATTTCGTATGAACTACAGAATTAGCTTTTCAATTTCTACCAAGTTATTTGGGAATATGATAGAGATTGTACATAATCTGTAGATCAGTTTGGTGAGTATTGCCATTTTAACAATGTTAAATCTTCTGATCCAAGATGAGATGGTTTCCCAGTTATTTATATTTCTTTAATTTTTTTCAACAATGTTTTGTAGTTTTGAGTGGATACATTTTGTTATATTTACTCCTAACTATTCTATTCTTCTAGCTGTCCTAAGTGGAATTGTTTCCTTAGTTTTATCTTCAGATTACTCATGTAAGTATGTACAAATACTATTGATTTCTGTATATTTGTCTTGTATGCTGCAAGCATGCTGATCTCATTTATTACAGTTAGTAGTTTTTTACTTCATTCCTTAGAATTTTCTATATACCAGATCATGTCATCTGAAAATAGAGATAGTTTTACTTCTTCCTCTTTTTTTGCTGAGAAAAGGGATGTTTTATTACTGTGACTTGACCATAAATTATAATTATTATCATTTATGAAAGTTACATAAATGTAGGCTGATCATCTTTAAAGTCGTAAAAAGCCAAATATAAAGCACAGAAAATAAATTTGATTGACAAATGTACTGACATAATTCTTTTACATGTTATGTGAAATCCTAGGAAGAATCATTGCAATAATTATTCAAAGTAATGTTAAAGGTAACAAAAGAGATGTTTGGTCTTAAATGTAAATTTAAATGTATAGTGTCTACAGTAATAGATCAGAGCTAAAGTATATTTGCAATTTCTAACAGAAAAAAATTAGTCTGCATATACTCTGTATTCTTCAATGAAATAAGAAACAGATCAAGGATGAACCAGGCCACCTTTTAAAGATAATTTTTCAGGGTAGTTAAAATGAGTAATGATAAAGCTCTACACATACAATTAAATTGTTATACTAGAAACAGTAAAGGAGACCCTTGAACAATGCAGGAGTTAGGGGCACCAAACCCATGAGCAGTGGAGAATCCCTGTATGCCCTGGCTGGGGTGCTCCGTTAGTTGGAGCCTCCTCCCCTACACCTAAAGGGTTAGGGTTCCATCGCTGCTCAGGGGCCAGGCGCTCTCTCCCTTCCTCTCACTCTAAAATCAATAAGCTTATCCTCTGATGAGAATTTAAAAAGAAAAAAAAACACATATAACTTCAGTTGACTTTCCACATTCCTGGATTCTCAAACTTGGATAGGAAATACTGTTTTGGTCCAAGGTTTGTTGAATCTGTGCCTATACAACTTAAAAATATAAAGGGCCAACTGTGTTGGATCTGGCCAGTTCAAACCCATGTTGTTCAAGGATTAGCTGTATTTTTATTTGTAAAGTTTGCAAACCAAAATGTTACAAATAATAAAACATCAGTATTGGTGGGAATACCAAATATTATTTAACAACTGCCACTATGTGTTTCTTCTCTGACATGATTAGCACAGATGTAAGCTTGCTATGTTTGAGACATTCACTTCCTTTAGTCGACAAGCTTCTTTCATAACGTGCTGTTCTTGAATCTAGCTGTAGATAGATTTTGGTGGATGTTGGTGAAGAGAGATACATTTCATATGACAATGATGTTCAAATTTCTTCTTCAACTCTGATATAATCTTTGGCTGCCTTTTCTCGTGATGTAAGCACACCCAGTTTTTCAGAAGCATTAGCTTTCCATAGATGAATTTTCGTTTCACAGATCCACACATAATGTATTGTACTTACTACCAGAAGTCCATTTTACACAGATAACATGTTGCAATCTCTTTGTGTGATATACTTCCCTGCTTCTACTTTTGTCCACAGGACAGATTTGAATATATTTATCAAAACTAGTGGACCAAACTCTTGCCCAGAGGGAGAGCAATCCACATCAAACACCACAGATACATCATCCGTATGCACCATTACAGGAGTGTCTAGTGTACCCACATCAAAAGTTTATAAGTTGTAATCTTCATTTGGTACAATAAAATGAGAGCTTCCATAGGGTTTCAACGAATTGTATTTGTTCTCATATCTAAGATTTCCATTTCAAAGGAGTAGCTTGCTTCATATCATATAGCATTTACTATATTCCTGTCAGAAGCACAACTTCCCAAGAGAAATGTCTCAATTGGGTTAAATTTAACACAACTTATATTGTCAAATCCCCAGGTCATTAAACATATAGAACTGATTCCTTGTCCATCTCAAACATCTCATTGCTGTCCACATGTGGCAAAAATAACTTTGTTCTAGTGTGATCAATTCCTGTGTGCACTGTCTTTCCTAATATTCAATGCAATGGTACTTCCTCTTCTCTGAAGCCTGGTCCATCCATTTTCCACTGCTTCACAGTTTTGTCATCACCAACAGTAAAAAAAAAAGTACACCCACAGAAATAAGTACATTTTCCTCATAAAAAAAACCTTTATGTGTTTGTATTGTACAGATGTAGTTTCGTTTGATCAAGTTCCAGATTCTAACCTTTTCATCACATGCCCCAAAAAGGACATTTGTCAGGCTCTTTGGATGCTTTGTCCAAGCAGTT